ATGTACCTCAAGAACCAGGCCGGTGCTGGTGGACAGCAGGGTGGCGCTTCCGGTCTTATGAGTCTTGCTTCTAAGTTCCTGTCTAAATAATCCCAATAGTTGCGTAGTCACAAGAGGGGGAGCTAAGAAGCACCCTTGATCAGCACATGCTAAACAACAATTAAAAGACTCCATATTCCATTTTCATTTTTGCGACCTGAGGTAAAGAAACATCAAAGCATCATCTTGGTACAAAGACGTTATGCCTTCTGTTTAGCCAGATCTACAACATCCAGCCACTCATCAGGTCGGCGCCGGCCAGACTCTGTAGAATTATGCAAATACTCCTCTGCCTCTGCTGCCCAAGCCAGGAGCTGCTCCTCACTACCCCATTCTCCTGTGGCCATCAAGCCAATAGAGAGCTTACCCTCACCCTGATCTGGATCCACGTATCCCACAGGTGCTGATACCGCAGGCGTGCCGGTCAAGTTGGCCAAAAAGACGTAGAGCATGTTTCGAATAGTCGTGTTGGTATCACTCATGCCGTAGGCTTGATCACCAGGTACAATAGGCCATCCGATCAAGGGGCTTGTGGGTGTCATGATAAGCAGGCCAGGGTGCTTCTGGAACAAGTAGGCGATATGTTGCATGATGAGCTCTCGCAAAGCACCGTATTTGAGCATATCGGCTGCAGGAGTCCTGGTACCGACAGACATAACGACCTTATTAGCGGGGCCTACCAGCGAGAGCCAGTCGGCGGGATTGGGAGTTCGTCGGCGGGCTGACTCGGCCATTTCAGTGATACAGACAACACTGTGTGCAAGTTGTGCCTCGGGGATGTAGGGGATAGTGATGTCGATGATCTCATAACCGCATTTGTTAGCGAGGTAATTGACCGCCCTGTCACAGACCTCCTTGACACGAGGGTCAGCCTTGTTCCACCAGTCACGATAAATCCCCATGACCTTCTTCTGACCCTTTGGCGGTGGATCAGAACGAGCAAAACGGCCCTGGATATGACAATCTGGGTTAGGCTGGGACATGACGCGGTAGGCAATAGTCAGGTCTGAGACAGTAGCGGCGATGGGGCCGGTGATACACATGGTGTTGTTCATAAACATAGTCCTGTTATGTGTGGTCTTGAGTCCGTAGACGCCATTGAAAGTTGGAGGGATGCGGATACTGCCTCCCGCGTCGGTGCCAACCGCGATGGGGACAACACCAGCTGAGACAGTGGATGAGCCCCCGGAGGAGGAACCGCCAGGATAGTAGGATTTGTTGAGCCAGTTAGTGGGTGTTCCTTGTGCAGCCTGGATTCATTAGTGGTGACTTGTATAAAGCGGCTTGTGCTTACATTGCATCCGCTGGTGTCTGATCACGGTCAGTAAATGAATGAGAAAGACGTTGTATATGGACTCACCAGAGCCAAGCTCATGCATAGCATTCTTTCCAATGACTACAGCACCAGCCTCTTGGAGTTTCTTCACTGGCCACGACGATTCCTTCTGCTCCCTGAAAGTTTCAATGGAGGGATCATATTTCATGCCAATGTGGTTATGAAATCCCTTAACATCGGTATCATCTTTGACACCGATAGGTACACCGTCCAATACACCCAGTGGCTTGCCGGCAGCATAACGCTCAGTCGATGCTTTGGCAGCCTCGAGGACTAAATGATCTTTGCCGTGGTTATCAACCCAGCCATCAGAATACTTGCCATCTGGTCTGGAGATCTGGGGGAGGAGAGCTTCAGCGACTTGGAGAGGTGTCAGTTGGCCCGACTTGTACATCTCATGGTAGTCACTAGCAGTGTAGTAGCGTGCTTTGGAATCTGCATATTGCGACTTGAGAAGCTTAGGCTCAAAGTCAAGCATAGGCTTTGTAGGGCCCAGGGGAGTTACGGTAGGCTGAGGAGGTTAGCTATGTGGCATTTTGGACGAAGAAACGACCTTTCATACATGGAACCTGTAGGGAATATCATCAAGAGCAGGAATGTCTTTGATAGTGCCAAAGTGGGCATTGTCCCAGAAATATTGTTGAAGGAACCCAACTTTGGCGATGCTACAAGACTTTAGCTTCGGTAAGGACATCAGCCACAGGACATAGAACTCACAGATTAGCACCAATTACGAGAGGAATGCCTCTGAATGTAGGATTGTTCTCGACTGTGGGGTTGTATGAAGCTGCTGGAGCCTCGACAGGCTTGGGATAGTCGGCAAAATCGGAGGGGGCCATGATGGAAGATCCGGGGAATTATGTTAGCCTGAGGGGAGATTCTGGGGTAAGGAGACCTGCACAGTTTATATAAAGGGCAGAAACAGCAGCAAGAACAAGAGTTGTGTCCTAATAGAGCAGGTCTGGAGATAAATAAGAGGTTCAACTGTCTCCTAAGCTAAGCTGAGTTTAGGCTGCATCTGCCGTATACGACCCCTAGAACGCCAACCTAGGCTGCCCCACACGAGGTTCATGAATGAGACGCCATTTGCCGAGGCTCGTATAAGTTCGATCATGAGAGAAGAGCTACGGATAGAGAGGTTGGTTTTCATTCAGGAACAATCTACCTTTTTGCATGAAGCAATCGATTGTTCGATACGAAAAGACCAATCACACTAACTATAGCTGAATCCGATCCATTAGGACCACGTTTCGTCCATCACTGGGATTAGACGCCATCACAGGCGATCTGCTTAGAGGAACTAATCCTTGCACATTGAATACACAAACATTTACGCGTCTGACACAGAATTCATCTAGATCAAAGGAACGAATTAGTCAAATAAGACGAACAATAAACCAATTGAATGAAGCATTAAAACAACAAAGTCCACAGGTAAGATGAGCAGCATACAAGTATAAAGACCATGTGGTTGCCTTACGTCATCCCAAACTAGGTACTAAGGTACCTAAGGTAGCACTAAGTCTCACCTCCCTTTAGTGCATTTAGTGCCCCGCGTCACAGCATCGCATCACATGGCATCTTTGTCACTCCTCACTCGATAAGACTCCAACATCAACAGACACCGTGACCATTCTCTTTTGATTTACTTCTATACGCATCCATGGCCTTACTCTCTAAATATTCTACTTGGCAAAAGACTCATTCATCTATGGTCAGCAACATATAGTCTACAAAGCTCTCCTAGGAGCTCAGCTCTTCCATAGCTCAACCCCTCCAGGGATAGCTCCGCGATAAGCTACCTATCTACAATATTATCGCCATCAACATGTCACTCTTTACCGCGCAGCTTTATCCTGGCCGAGCACTGGGGTTCCTAGGTATGCTAAAACATCATAAAACTTAGTAACATCTACTGACCTACTTACAGTCCTCGGTGCAACTCTTCACGATGTCCTTACCCGTCTCAAAGCTGAACCCCAACACTTCCCGAAGATCGAGCTACTTTACTCCCCTGACCGACCTGTCACCGAACCCGTTGGCGTTGAACTCCCTGGGAATGGTATACGACTAAGATTTGACGGCCCCGAACAGCGTCTGCGTCTTATCGAGGTTACCGACTTTACCAAGAATCATATTACCTTCAAAGAACGAGATCTTGTAAAACCATCTGCTGGTACCCCTGGATCTCCTTCACCAGGCGACTCGACATCAGGACCGACTTTCCGACACATATACCATAAACTCCTCGGCCCTACGTACGCCGGTGAGTTTATTACGCCATCTAGCGGTCACGATAATGGCATCTATGTCCTGTCCTATCCTGGTGTCGCCTTCAACTTCGCACTTGATCCTTCCGAGTACTCGCCTGAGAAAGACGTAGTGTCGACTTTTGCATCGGCATCTAGTCAAGTCGCAACCTCGATGGCTGTCTTCAGTGGTGATTCCTGGGCTGATGCTAGACCGACTCTTTGGACTGAGATTCTGCCCAGTATCAAGTCAACTACCGTGATTCCTCGAGGTAAAGATGTCTACCCCGACGAAATTTCGCTGGTTCGATTACATGGAGCTGGAAAGATTCAGCTTTTCAGGAAATGGACCAGCAACTCTTTCTGGATCACCCTTGGCGAGACAACACCTCAAGATCTCCTCATGGAGTTGGGGCCTCCAAATGCCATCTATCGCAAGAATGACCAGAAAATGGTCATTCATAAGATGCGCACCGCAAGCAACGCCAAAGGTCGCCCAGATGCTGCTGATATTGGCCGACCCGAAGATCTCACCGATACAGATCAGTCTTCCATGCACGAGGTGTCTGATGCATCAGACAACGAAGAAGCCGTCGATGATCAGATCGGTCTTAACACAAATGGCGAATGCTTCTATAATTATTTCTATCTTGGGTTTGACATATTAATATCGACTCGTGTACCTCCATCACAAGCTCCTCCTGGCAGCTTAGTCAGTGAAGCAGAGGGTCAGAATGGTATCATATCCCATTCCCCGGATCGATTAGTAGCCACAAAGCTGGTTCTACATGGTAACATACCTGGCTCATATGAATTCAATCGCCATCGCCGCTGTCGCTGGGAAATTGCATACCTGGACTCTCTAAATGATGGCAACGGACCGACAGATTCGGAAACACCATTCCCACAAATAGAGGACCGTATGAATGCTGCATGGGCATCTGCATTCCCACGAAACGACTCTCAGCAAAGACAACGTGGCATGGTTCTTAATCGTGGCTGGGGCGATAGTCCAGGTAGTAGTTGTGAGTTCTTAGGAGGGTGGGAGGAGAGCGGCGCAAGAAGAGCAGAAACAAACGGTGATTCCACGACCACGCTGTATGGATTCCCAGGGCTGGTATTCGAAGTTTTGAAGAATGGGCATGTCAACACTGTCACAGTGTTTTGATATAGGGCGTAACGTCTGGATTTTGTCTGGGGGGGTTTATGGTGTTTGGGACGAGTCGATATAGCGGCTCAGTCTCGTTTGCTTCGATACCTTTGTCCTTATGATCTTAGATTTCCTGTAAATTCATATTAACATGTCTTTACTTTATCCTTTTCTGGCGCTTTGCTGCATTGCCATTCTTTATGCAATTTGATGAATGGGGCACGAGATGCGCGTAAGTGCATCAAGGGAGGTAAGATCTTCTACAACTACATTGCTCAGCATCCTGCTGTTATCCACTGCCAACCTCAACCCTCTACACTTTCCCTCCCCCTCGCCAGTTTATATGACTTTCTACAACAAGCATCCCTGTTCTGCGTTCGCAACCAAGAAATCGCCATGTCGTCTACAGAAAAGAAGAACACTACAAAGCCAGTCGACAAAGAAGCCGTCCGCAAGCTGATCAACGAGCTCGAAGGCAAACTCGAATCTCTGTACACACTAAGCGACGAGGTCAACAGAGGTATTCTTGAGAGCAAAGATGCGCTCGAAAGCCTCCGCGAGAAGCGTGTCAAGCTCACCAGAGCGCGACTAGACCGGATCTTCCAGCAGTGGAATATCGGGCCTCTGACTAGCAACCATCAACCGTATGTTTACCTCTGAATTATGCGCATTCGATGCTGAGTACGGTCTTAGGTCAACCCAGAATCAGAATCAGAGTCAGAATCAGGGACCAGGTCCGGGTCTGGGTCAGGTTCCAGGATCAAGCTTGGCTCAGACTCAAGCTGGGAATAACCAACAAGGGCAATTCGATTCGCCATGGTAGATGTTGGGTTGGTCGGTATGTGTAATCTATATTTATGGTGACACAATGAGGAGTCTCTTGCTAATATTGGATTAAGGAAGCACATCCAATGAACTTTCTAATAAGAAGATGGTGGATCAGACTATGAGGCGGCGAGCCAGTATCTTGCGTTGTAGCTTAGAGGGTATAAGCCATTATCAACCCTACATCAATCACACTCCGATATCACGAGATACCTGTTGATCTTCCGTAGTCTGAAACCCTGAGGTGTATGCTGTACTCCTATATGTGATCTACTACGAGCTGGTTTTTCACAGTTCCCAAAGTATCTGTTCAGGAGAAGGACCTTCTCGATGTCCCTGTAAGGCTGGCTTCAGTTTTATATAACAATTTGCTCTCAATGTAATTACGCAAGCAACCCCAACCCTCCAGGAGCTGAGTGTAATAAACTCTCCTAAGCTCATATGGGCTTGGGGTAACGCTGTGGGTAATTGCATTAGCCTGAAGAATATGTTTAGTCACCGAAGATCATAGGGCCTTTGGCACTTCAAAAGCAACAGATGAAGAGAAGTACATTTCCAAGTGGATTGCATGGCCAACACCTAAATCAACTGTTCATAATTAACAATGCACCATCGTTATGTATCATCAGGGGTAAACTGTATCAAGGTTTCTGCTAAACTGATCTTATACACAGGCTTTCATAATGACGGGTCTCTGTGACTGCCGTCCAAGCCATCTATTCCTACATCGTACACGCTACACCAGGTATCATGATGCTCCCTTTCCTCCTGTCCGTTTCCAATATCATGCATATTTCACAACTCTCTACCACTCGTCGACCTCCCCCTTCTTAGGTTTTTGCACCCGCACAACCTTGTCACAGTTGAGCAAACATAGAGGATCAAAGGCCTTCTTGATCTGCATTGACTGTTAGCGAACTGTTCATTTCAATATAGGGGCATTATTTCTTACCTGTCGCATAGCGTCAACTGTAGACTCGCCAAGCTCATGAGGGAGATAATCCCGCTTGACAAGTCCAACACCGTGCTCACCCGTGACGGTACCCTCCATCTCAACAGCCTTCTTGACCATGCGATGCACGACAGCCTCAGCCTTTGCACGCTGAGCATCGTTGTACAGCAGAATAGTGTGGAAGTTGCCGTCACCGACATGTCCTACGATGGAAGCAAACAAGCCACTCTTTGCCATGTCCTCTTTGGTCGCCTCGATCAGATCTGGTAGCTTGCTCATGGGCACAGCGACATCGCCCGTCCACACGTGGTCACCGGGCTTCTTGACAGCTGTGGTACTCCAGAGAGCCTCCTTTCGTGCACTCCACAGCTCGTCCTGCTCTTCTTGGCTCTTAGCAAACTCAAAGGTCTTGCTGCCAGCCTGCTTAGCGAGCCCCTGCACCTGAGCAACCTGCTCCTTAACACCGGCGGGAGTTCCGGCGAACTTGAAAAAGAGCGTTGCTGCCTCTGTCCAAGCTCGCGATGTCATGCCCGCATCGTTGATGCACTTCATCTGGTTGTCGTCGAGGATCTCGACGGCAGCGACGGGGATGCCCTGGGCCACGACCTTGCTCACACAAGTAGCGGCATGACGAATCGAGGGGAAACTACAGACAGCGACGCTAGTAGACTCAGGCTTGACGGTAACCTTGAGAGTAGCCTCAGTCACGAGGCCAAGGGTACCCTCGGAACCAATAAACAGCTTGGTCAGATCGTAGCCGGCAGAGCTCTTGCGAGGTCGCTGCCGGGTCTTGATGACAGTACCATCAGCAAGAACGACAGTCAGGCTAAGAACCCACTCGCGCATAGTACCATAGCGATAGGCATTGGTGCCACTGCACCCAGTGCCGATCATACCTCCAATCATAGCACCAGGACCAGGGTCGGGAGGGAAGAAGAGACCCTCATGCCCCAGGTGGTCATTCAGAGCTTCCCAGCCCATCGCAGGCTGGACAACAACATCTAGATCCTCCTTGTGAAGATTGATTATCTTGTTCATACGACCAAAGTCGATGGAGATGCCCTTGCGGGTAGGTGTAAAGTGACCCTCGAGACTGGTACCGCCGCTATAGCCTGTAACGGGAATCTTGCGTTTATGGCAAACCTTCATAATCTCAGACACCTCTTCAGTGCTTGAGGGATAGACAACGCAAAAGGGTCGGTCTTCGGGGCTAGCCTGGTGAGAGGACCAACTGGATGTCGCATGGTGTTCGAGGTCGTTCTCGGCGGTGCTGACATTGTCTTGGCCGACGATCTTGACAAAGTCGGCCCAGGCAGCCTGCATGTTCTCGAGCTTTGTGTTGTGCTTGGGAGCTTTGGTCTTGTTGAGAGGTAGTGTCGACGTAGGCTCGGGGTCTCTTGGCCAATATGTACCAAGCCAGTATGAGATGCCAACGCCTGAGAGGAAGACTATCATTTGTTAGATTTTTGGTCTTGAAACGGGTGATTGAGCGTACCAAATGTCACCATCCAGTTCCTTGTAGGATCTGTCATGTTGCGCCACTCCTCGTACTTCTCCCTCTGCTCCCGCTCACGCCTTAATCGAGATCCAATACTGCCCATGACCTGTCCTTGGAATGTCCTTCCCACCTTTGTCTCGTTACTCTGTCGGGCGGGGGTATTCTTATTCGGTCTTTCAGGCTCGATCTCTGTAGCGTAAGAGCGGTAGAAAGACGTAGGTAGCCTTGTGGTTCGACAACTAGCTGTGGTGGGTGTCCGCAAGCTCCGCAGAGCAGCACGCTGAGCGCGCAATTGAAGAGAAGCCATGACGATGTAGATTGTGCGCGGGCAGAGGTTGAAAGTCGGTAGCAGGGATAATTAAGATATATAGGTCGTAAAAGGGTGTAGAGGAGTTGGTCGAAGCTGTATGATTGTGTCGGGATAGGAATTGGCCGACGAGGACAGGTCGATGTCGAGCTTAAGTGTTGAAGTCGACGGCAATGGAAAATTGTTAGGACGGAGTTGGAATACCGCACTATAATTCCTGAACCCCACACCACGGGGCCTTGTTCGGACGTCTTCAGGGCCTTGAGATCGGCTTCGATTAGATCTGCTACGGCGTGGAGGCCTTTGTCTAATTCTCATTGGCTGTGTTATTCTATTTCCTCTTATACTTGCCTTTTTCGTTCTTGGTTTCTCGGTATAATTCAGCAGTTGCGCTGTGTAATGTCCGTCTTTCTCATATCTTCGATACTGATCCGTACCGGCCGGGCTCAATCTTGTAAGACAGGATCTACTCCGTATCGATGGCTGAAATCTGACCGAAGTGGATGCTCAATGTGATTTCAAGGATGATTATCGACTATAGAGGGGGCACGTTGAAGAGCAATTATCACATCAAAGCACGTCACCGCCGGCCTCGGCCAGTTTCACTATCATGTATTACCAATCCTGTTTCAATGAACCTCGAATCAACCTTTATCCTGTATTGTATGTTCTGAGGCATTGAATGTTTTCACGCATCCATATAATCCTAATTACCATAGCCGAGACGTAAGATCTTCGGAGATTGGCCACCGCCGTTGATGAACGTTTCAGCCGCATTCCCCAAAATATCGCGGAGACCAAGTCCGCTCTCCCAGTGCTTCCGTCCGGACGCCCAGAAAACTGTCAAAACTACCCAATAAAATGCTGTATATTGTCCCGAAACTCCGTCCGCCCGTTTTCCTGTTGTCGTTGTCATCATACGTACCATGGTAGCTCTTCGCTCTCAAAGGTACACCAAGTGATCATATGCTGCCGTGTTGGACAAGCTGAACAGTAAAAGTCGGCGTTCCACTCTGCATGTGGTCAAAGTAGGCTGCCAACTCATCATCTCCTTGTATCTGAAGGGGCAATTCGTTACCCTTGGGGTCTTTAATGATACCCTCGATACGAAGACACATCGCCCCGGGAAATTTGGTCATCGCGACCTGGCGTAACTCCTGGATTGATTGTGAAGACATTGTAGATATCCACATGCTAGTGCTGGCCGGATATGTCGAAGAAGGGTGCAGCCGCATAAATACTGCGAAAGAAGATGGTACCGCAGGCACTGAAGGCACAGGCGAGAACATTGCATTGGGCGCGGGCGCCGAGAATTGGTGCTGCACGTATTGCTGCTGCATATAGTTTGCCTGAGGTTGATTCCCCAAGTACATCGATGAGCCGTACTGAGCATCCATGGGCACGGTGTTGGCAGCGGACGAGCCCAGCATTCTATGAGGTTGAGGTAGGACACCCTGAGAAGCCGGCATGCCCAGAGCCGGCAACTGTACCTGTCCTGGCCGTTGCGGTGCTGGCGGCTGACCGGTTGTTGTATAGGCAATACGTGAGTGGACTGGCTCATGGACTGGCTCAAACCCACTGTCGTCCATAGGCTGATCCATCATCGGATCCGCAGGTGAACTGGACCCTGGGGCTCCCCTCTCTGCCACCCCGAAGGCAGGGGGGGTCTCTATCGCTCTTTGGGTTTGTTGTTGATATATGCTTGGTTGAGCCTCGGTGAGTTGCGAGTTCTGAACAGTATGTTGTGGTTTGTCATTATGAGATTTGCGCTTCGCTGACTCCTTCTGCTTAGGAGCTTCGCCACTCTTGGTGGTTTTGGATCTCTTCTCGTCACGTCTTCTCTTGATCACGTCTCGAGCGACGATCTCGACTGCCTTGACTTTTCGGCGAGATGATTCATCATTTCCATGGAGGGGGATTGCCCGCATGCGTTCTGACTTCTCAAGCCATCGCTTCTTCAGTTCTTCCCACTGCTCTGGTGTTCCATCAGATTTACATGTAAACTTTGCATCGCACAGCACTTCATGCAAAGCAGCGCGGATTTCATGAGATTCTTCTGGGTTGAGACCCAGCTCGTTCTTTGCATCAACGAGAGTCATTCTGGTATCCTGGTTGCGTAGACGCTTGGTCACGTCAGTGCAAATAACGTCCAAGGCAAGCTGCTTCCTCTCAAGGTCCTCTTTGGAAATCCAAAGAGCTTGTTGTAGGTGCGGGCGCTCATGGATCAGGCGGTTCTTGACATAGTCCCATCTTCCCGGTCCAGCTTGGGTCTTCTTGACGATGGACTCTTCTTGACAGATTCGAGAAAAACACTCGCGAGCTTCCGCGTAAGTGTTCGCATCGAGACCGAGGGCTTCTTTGGAATCGTTCAAGGTCATTTCAGATGGGAAACGGACAATGTGCTCTGATTCAGTGAGATGCTGACGATTTCTTCGGCTTTGTCTTTTGCTAATCTTGCGTGGCTTGGGCGTTGTTGGGACAGAGGTGGCATCTTCAGGTGTTGAGTTTTCAGGAGCATATGGTTTTGGGTGGTCAGGATCTCTGGATTCTTGGTCAGGCAATGGAATGGTCACATCTCTGTCGTCTAGTGAAGTATCATTCTCAAGATTCTCATCCTCAGGCTCAGGCTCAGCATCACCACCAGATCTTGCTCGGTCACCATTTCGAACTCTAAGGAGCCAGCGATTGCGGGCACGCACTCTCATGAGTTCACGGGAATTGATGTCAAAGCCATCCTCATCAGTAAGGATTCGAAGCATTTCACTTTGAGGGACATTTCTCTTCCATAGCTCATGGATGCGCTTCACAAGTCGATCATCCTTGTGTTTTAGTCTTTGTTTTGTAGGAAACTTCCATCGACTAAACTGAACTTGAAAAGCGCGTTTGCTGAAATAGGTCGTGTAAGTTAAGCCGACGAGAGCGGTCACTTACACTGACTGAGCACTTACCTCGGCGTGAACTGGTAAACATTCTTCATGTGCACCATGATATCCTCGAGGGACCGACGCTCATTGATATAAAGTTGGTAGCACACATCTTTGTGTGGTTCCCATTGATAGACCATGATCCAATACTCGAGACAGCATAGTCTCTTGTGTCTGCGTCTTTGGTCAGAACGGCTCAACTAAAACTTGGAGCTTGTGGAGAGGCTTTTGCATTGCTGGTTGATCTGGGCTTCCGGAGTTTTTTGGCTGGTCAACCAAGGATTAGTCAGGTGTGTACAGTCCGAAGAGTGCGAAGTACTGCTATATAGACTGTACAATCTAATGATGAACTTGAACAAGCGATATTATTACATTTGATGATAGAATATATCCGTACAAAAGGCCGAAATACCATTTGAGTGGCTCATTGCAACATTCATGGGTCCCATATTTGAGAATAGGTGAATACATCCAGAGAATGCAACTCTCAAAGACAACTTTGAAACCCATTTGTACCTTGGTCAGCTATCTCAGACTCTAGAATAAGCAGCACCTCCAGACTAACGATGTGACAACAGCCAAGGGCAAAGGTCGAATAGATCTATGTCTTAATATGATTTTTCTCTCATTTTCTAAGTGGGCACAGTCCGAACAAATGCTGCTTTTGGTTCTCATCAAGACAACAGTGTGCGGAATTCAAGCCGCCTGGCCGCTTGACGATGACAGTGACGATCTCTAGCTAAGGCCAATACCCTTACATGTGATACTAGCATTCACATGCTCTCTCATTATCATTCCTATTTCAATCATTTCCCCAATCTCCTTTACTCACTTGAGAAGACAGGAATATTATACAGATACCGGGTGTATTTAAACGACAGCGACACTCACTCAACGCTTCTCTATACCTTAGTTCCTATTTAGCTTACACCTCGGCTCAATCTTGTAAGTCAGCCCGAGACGTTGTCACCATTCCGCGGCTCAACTGAAGCCCAATCAATCCATCGCACTCTAAATTAACATCGTCCTGACCTCATCTTCACTCTTTCATACTTCATTTATTACTCACGACACCAATAATCGCAATGGCATCGCCTTCGCTTCCCCACAGCTATGCAGCCCTCGACCTCCCGACCCTCCAGCTCTTCCATCATCCCCCCTCTTCCAAAGAAGTCACACATGTCATAGTCATAAAGCTTCACCGTCCTGAAGCTCGTAATGCTTTCACCGACACAATGGCGGCTTCGCTCTCCCATGCGCTCAACACACTCTCTGTTGATCCTCGCGTTCGCGCCATAGTCCTCACTTCATCGGATCCAAAGAATCGCATGTACTGCGCTGGTATGGACTTCAACGAGGAACATGCGCTGGGGAAAGATGCTGCTGATCATCGCGACTCCGGTGGCATTGTCACTTTGCCTATGTATCGCTGCAACAAGCCTGTCATCGTCGCCATCAACGGCTCTGCTGTTGGCGTGGGTATCACAATGACTCTCGGCGCCAACATCCGCGTTGTGAGCCGCGACGCCCAGATTGGCTTTGTGTTTGGTCGCCGTGGTTTCAGCATGGAGGCATGCAGCAGTTTCTTCCTCCCACGCCTCATAGGGACAAGCCGTGCACTTCACCTCACCACCACTGGCGCTGTCTACCCTGCCACTCACAAGCTTTTTGACGGTCTCTTCAGCGAGATTGTTGCACCTGAAGAGGTTCTTCCCACAGCGCTCAAGATCGCGGATGAGATAGCGGCTAACGTAAGTGGTGTCTCTGCGCGGGTAATGAAGGATATGATTTACAGGGGAGCCTCGTCGCCTGAGGAGGCGCATTTGCTTGAGAGCAAGATATTTTGGGACTTGTTCACAGGCAAGGATGCGAAAGAGGGGATGAATAGCTTCTTGGAGAAGAGGAAGCCAGATTTCACGGGGACTATGGACAAGAATGCGCCCAAAATCTACCCTTGGTGGACGCCCGTAGATATTGCCAGGCCAAAGCTGTAGTGATTCATTGCTGGAAATGTGTTTATTGCTGTATTTTATGATCACTTGGCTACCTATGCCCTATGAATTGTACAAGGACTCCGTTGGTTTTGGTGTATACTCATCACTCCAAAGAACACTGTATCATAATACCCACAAATCCATTTCTCTTCATTCCTTAGGTAATGGGACAAATATTATCTGCATTCATCTTCAGCAATAACGCTCTGTCTCATAACCCCAGATTAATGTCTCCATAGGTAGGACTCGAGCAATGATTTAGCGCTGAACCATCAAAAGAGGCTAGAGAGGTCATGAGATTCCATACCTTCAAGACCCTTGTCTAACTAATCCTCCCCACACTTAGGATCTCCGCCGTTAAGCCGACCCACTCTCTGTCAAAGGCCGCAAACGAACGTCATGTGCGATTGATTAATGTCATGTGAAAGGGATGCACAGGAGGCAAAGCTGAGCCACTCTGATACACCCGTACGATGGATTCGTCTTCTTCTTGGCCCGACACTCGAGTCACTAGAATTGGGGGTTGTGCTACTTCACAGGATGTTTGCCAAGAGAGGGAGGAGACGTAACGTTAACGTGAGTGAGGCAAATTGCCGGTCATGTCTGTTCATGTTTTGATCCGGTTCTATGGTAGAAGCGCCTAAGCCGTTCCATCCGATATGCCACAGCCGTACAAGCCGAGCTGGAATGAAACTCGAAAAAAACAAGAAACAATGCAACAAATCGTCCCAAATCAAAGAACAAAGTTCTTAAGGTCATCCCGCGTAGCTCGAGTCCGTTGATGCAACCATGCATGCCAATCGTAGAAGTAGAAGAAACAAAAACAAAGTGGTAAACCCCAACTCCTTGCCTATAAAATGTCAAAAGATAAGGTCCCTCCTGGCCGTGAAAACTCGCTCGTTTCCATGCCACATTGCTCCAAAGGCCGTGAGTGCGCGTGTGTTATACGTGGGCGAATGGGAAGTGAGGGATATACTGCTTCCCGTAGGTGAAATTCAAGGTATCGTAGTGAAGATATGGCTAGCTGTAAATTTGTGCTCGCCGAGTATCTGCCGAGAAAAGCATTCGTAGATTCATCGGCGACGGGTATATGGTGATGAGCAGTATGCGTCAAAGGCGCTGGTCTGCTGTCGCGGCTGGTATTGCTGATAGGGAGTTCTGACAACGAATCCCTTCTTTGGGCCAGAGAATTTGGTCTTGAGTTTGGTCTTGGTCTCGCTGGTAAAATTCTCCTATCTTCGACCAAGCTTGAGCAGTCGCGTTCTCAACCACAGAACAAAAGCGGTCCAAGCACTGGTAGTTTTTCGCTTGGTGGTTTTGCTTCGGTGAGTTGATTGAAAGTGCACATCGTCAGCTCTAGCGCCAGGTGTCTGGCCTGTAGGCACAGTATCGTAGCTTCGGGTACCAAAGTCGACCTTCTCGTTCTCGGTGGTCAACCCCAGACCCACACCAGTGCCAGTAGTCTTGCGAGAGATCGAAGGTCGGATGTCAGTACTACTGGACACACGATCACACGAGATTCGAGAAGTTCCAAAGCTACCCTTGCGACCATTCTTGTTGAAGCGGTGGGCTTCGCGACTCTCTGCACGTTCCTGTTTGCGGATCTGCTCACGGGCATACTTTTCCTCCTTGGCTCGTTCTTTTTCCTCAAACTTACGACGGGCCTCGCGGACGTTCTCCTGGCGGGTGACAGTGTCAACCTCGCTGCGTGAGCGGAGACGGAAACCGCTCATGTCGAGAGAGCTCCGGAGTGGTGACATTGCGTTGGAGGATGTAGACGCAGCGATCATCTGGGGTGAAACAAAGGAACCAGAAGGTGGGCTGGTGCTTGACGCAGAGTCGAGAGCCGTGGTTGAGCCCGTGTTCAGGTGGAGGTCAGATCGGCTGCGAGTCACGATGCTATGGGGCTTTCGCGCAGATATTCCTGTGGCGGTGCGGCCGTTGGTAGTGATGCGCAGCGGTTGATTCACATCTGATAACGAGCTGGTGCGCTGACTAGCAAGAGAGGGACGGCGGGGCCGGGAACCAGAATGATAGGCACGAGTCGAAGTCTGAAGGCTCTGAGAGTCGATATTGTCTTCGTTCTCAGTTATCGTGGGAGAATAATCGCGAGGTCCGGTGGTATTGTCCAGGGAAGCGAGCGAGTTGGCGTAGGAGAGAGGTGGTGTTGAGGTGCGCGGCGTTTGTTGGAAAGGATGCACAAAGGAGCCGTTTCTGCCACCGCTAGCAGAAGTCGCAATAGAAGCATGAGAAGTGCCACTGGTAGAACGAGCATGCCCTTGCGAATATTTGTTTGAGCGAGCACCTCCATTGCTCAGATCCGTGGCCGATATAGAGAAGCTGACATCGCGTGCGCGGGCGGCAGGTGTTGGCAGTGCTGATGCACCTGCCGTATAAGACGAGTCGTCGCCGTCTACATTATACGAGGAATAACCAAATTGACCCTGCTCGTCCCAACCGCGATCCAAATCGAGAGAATTCTTTTCCGAGTGGGAGTGGTGCGATTGCAGTTTCTTGAGGATCGGCTTCACAGCAGGTCGACTGCGAGGTTTTGTTATTTTAGCATGCCCATGGCCGTGTTGATTACCATGCCCAAAGCCGTGACCGTGTAGGTGACCCGGTAACGAACTGCTGGTCTGCGCCATTGCCATTAGAAAATAGGCAATAGTGTAGAAGAGAGGTTGAAGAAGAACCCGAAAGGGTTTCAAAGGGTGTCAAAGAGGTATACGAGGGGTTCTGTGTTGTGTTTGTTTGCTGGTGTTGTTGGGCGTCTTGTCGCCGTTGCACGGATACGGGCGCAGCGCAGGCGGAGGGTGAGGAGTCTGTCGCACGCCCAGCGTATCTCAGAGCATCATGAAAGAAGTTGACTTCTCTTTTTCTTTCAAGTTGTACAATGAACAGACAAATCACCTCCACACACACAAAGGTTCTTCACAGAAGATACACTCTCTTCGCTCTCTCAACGACCAGCGTATGCAAGTAAGTAAACAAGATAAGAAGAACTGATTGAGCGACAACAAGGAAATGTCGCAGAGAAAGAGAAAAGACTCGGACAGGTCGGGTCGGGGAGGCCTGGCCTTAGAACGATCAGGGGTGTTCCCAGGTCCTAGAGAACCGAGAGTAGGCACTCCGTAGTGGGTGGGGTTACTGCTGTAAAGGAGGAGTCCGGGCCCGGCGGTACCTAGCGGTAGCCTGTAGGTAGCTCAACTCAACTGACTCTCACTTCTGGACTCGAGTCCCGAAGCCAAGGAATACCAGAGTTTAATGCGGCGATGAAGCCAAGACACAAGAGTTGAGTTTTTGATTTGGAATGATACAAATGAAAAGAAAGTCAAAAGGATGAGGGGAAAGAGAAAACAGGGAGGGTGAGACGGTAAAACCTCTGTCTGTGTCTTTTCTTATCCTTCTGCCTGTGGCCGTGTAAGAGGCGGCAGATTACGACGGTGAAAGCGGCGGAGGCAGTGGAGGTCGAATTTGAGAATGGCGGTGCGGCCGGAGAAGGCAAATACCGGTCAAATACCGCTGTACTCTACCTAAGTACACAGCAATCACTACCTACCACTCAGCACTAGATCAGCTCAGCATATGGGAAAGGATACCTAGGTACAGCCTGGTACTGTACCTACAGTAGGCTCTTCAACTAGAGACACTCTAACCTTTGGTAGTAGAAAAACTGGGTTTCGGTGGCAGCGAAGCCAAGTGATTGAACCAATGTCAAGACGTTCTAGGCCAGATTCAGCCTCATCAAGCGCATTGGCATGTGGGGTTCAGTGGAGAGAGTTCTTTCTTGTTGAGTCCTTTTCACTCCTCTCTTCTCTAGGCTCTTCCTCTTCGTCCACAGGCTGTGACGCTGACCAGGGATTGGCCAGGGTATCTTGTTCCGTGGGTATCGCCAAGCCAACGTCGGTCTGCGGTCTGCGAACCTGCGATGATGTGATCGAGTGCCGATGTCCCGTTACAGTGGTAGTCGCAGTAGTATTCGACTACAAGTTGTTGAGAGGCGGTAAGACAATACAAGAGATGTGATATGCGGGGGTTCCAGAGGCCAAGGAGAGGTCGAAGCGGTCGGGTCGCAGATGTTCACATCAATCAATGTCTTGCAAGGCCACCTAGCCTACAGGAGAGTAGCGGCAGATAACGACACGGATAGATAGACGTGAGTGAGATTTGGGGGCGTTTGCGGGGGTGATATCCTTGGAAACTTAAGATGCAGCAGACCGTATCTGTCTCGATAGAGGGGAGTATTGGTCCAATAGGAAGAGTAGGGACGGATGATGATGCGCTCAAGTCTGAAGCACAGAATGTTGTGTACAGAAGAAAAGAAGACAAGATATGGAAGGACTCGAAAGAAATGAGGTCTCGAGGGACATGTCACTCACATGCAATTGTCCCCTCATGGACTCGGGAATTACAGTAGTTAATATCCAAACTCATGACGCTTCTGATCAGACGAAATTGGGCGATTAATTACTCTGTCAGGAAGCGAGCAGCCAAGACAGAGCGAAATGAAGTTCCCAAGGTTCAACCAACCTATTGGCTCGCCAACAGTCTCGCCAGCTCTGCAAGGATAAAACTGTTAGGTATGTAATCTGGGCACACGCAACTCTGATAATGTGATTCTTGGTGTGTGTGGTGATTTCGCTGTCCTCGAGTCATCCACTAACAATTACACTCACGTTTTATCGGCCCTTCTCTGGTGCATACATTCAGCCAAACTTCAAAGAAACAACATGGCTTACAATTGTTTTCAGCCTTGTTTCTCTGTCATGTTGTACTCCGTAATGGGTAGATCTGTCACAAACTGTTCCCCCTCGTTGCATCATGTACTGTTTCATCCGCGTTGATCCCCCGGAACATCACCATCATTAACATCATCATCCCGTTTCATCCATCCGGATCTACCAGCAACGCTTCTGTTTGCGGGGGGTTGTCTCGGGTCCTGTAACGCCGTGAGACCTACCGGCTAAGCTTCACGACTGTGTGTTGGTTCTTCCTAGTTATTCACTGATGCCTGGATAGTTTCGTTTCAAGCATCATCAAACTTTTGACTACGCGATTAATTGATACTTTCGCTTCTCTAATTACCTCGTCTTCCGTTATCCCGCGTTCCTTATCTTGGACCTGACCTTGAATTCGTGGTTCTCGACCCCTTGTCTCTTGACACTAGTGGTCGATCATTCGCTCTAGGCCAGTCCAATTTGATGTCATCACTGGTTCTTTTTGTCTCATAACTAGTAGGGATTGACTATTGATGAGAGCGGGAAACATTGGTTACATCCGGAGAGCTTATTCATTTATCGCTGTATAGGTTAGAGTTTGATTGAACTTCGACAGCACTGCCTGATATCAGTTACGAATCCTTTTACCCTTTTGACAACCATGTGTTCGTCATTCCTCGTCCCTATGCTTATTCAAGGGGAGGGCAATCCAGACTACGCCACCAGGCACCTCGTCATCAGGTACAGAAACGCCATTAACCGTCGTCTCCTGGCGATCACTTCTAGACTCATAAACAATTTTCAGTCAAGTGAGCTATCCAATCCAAAAACCCTTCTTGGAATTCCCACCATTTGTCAACCACTCCAGGGTCACGCGACTTCAAGTCTCGGCTGAACACCACATGTTGCACAAGATAAGGTCTCTAGACTCTCGGCCTCGTCGGCTCATGCTGGTCTTACAACTAAATAAATTCCCCTCAAAAGGGTCCTCAACTGGCGTCTTTAAACTTGCGCCACAAATCGATAGTGCTGTGTTTCTCCTCATTGCCCCTCTCTCCCCCGCCTCCGCTTCTCCTCTCACCTTCGCCTCAATAGATTCGCAACTCCTCTCTCGTCATGAAATCAGGTTGAACTGGTAGCTAGTTTAACTTACCAACACGCCCCAGTGGCATTTTGACCTTCACGACTGACTATTACGCGGCCTTCTCCTTGTGCATTACGTTACCCTCTTAACTGGTTCCAGTCCTAAGTGGGCGAGTCTGCCTCCGTAGCTCGCTCATTGTTGGTTGAGACGTGCAGAAACATCTGCAACTCTCCCCAAACGTCTCGCATGGAGTCTCAATATCAATATCATTCCCCACAGTATCCGTTCGCCTTGTCCTGTTATAGCATTCGGAGTGGGGAGCTCCTTGGCCATCTCCATACTGTCATGCCAATCCACTAGGAACAAACTATAAACTCGTAAAATGACATTTGTATCCACCAGCTAAAGAATTCTCTCTAGGCCATGACCTCACAGCCGCATCCAATGCGGACTATAAAGTAATCATATACAATTGACTATCATTTGCTGTGGAGACTGCAAGTCGTGTTATAGTTCGGATTAGAAACTCAGTGAGTTACGCCGGAAACATCTGAGACATGCAAAACAAGTTTCATGATGATCAGATACCGGCAATTCTGAAAGTCAAATCATTTCGCCCCTCACCTATAAAGATAGTGTATGTATGGTATTACTACACCTTCAAAATACTGGCTCAAGTGAGAAGACTCAGATATATAAAGGAGCCTCACTTATTGAGTCATAGAGGCTCAGACCAGACTAGACATCAACGCTTTCGAAACTTTATGTAGTCAAAAATCATATGTACAGTATCAGCAAACTCTAAGCGATAGAGCTGACCATGCTTTTCGAGCAATATATCTTGAAGCATCTTGATCTGTTCATGTACTTAGGTAGTCATACGTACATGCATCAATCATCATGATAACTCCATCTTCAACCACAATGCCCCCAATGAAAAGGCTCCGACGCTATGTTTTTAAACACGGAAAGGCCCGCCTTGGCTCCTTCGTCTGCCGTCGTTGCCTGGCTAGTCTCAAACATTTTTGGTGTTGGTGTTTCATGACGTGTGTTGGGGAGTCTTTGATACAGTGTGTAAGTCGGGACTAATAACGATGGTATTTCACGCATAAATATGCGTTAGAGGGAAATATTCTATCTAGATCTCTTGGTCTGAGAACAGAGGTATCACAATATTGATGGTTCCCTGAGCTGTACTGGTTTTGAAGTTCAAGGTCCATCACCCCTTTACACGATGAAATTAGGGAGTTACCATCCAGTGAGCTAATCTAGACACAAATAACTGCCAAGATTCAATTATATTGTTCAATAAGCGGCTTTCATTTCATTGTATAGATTCTATTCCATACAGTGGTTATGTCAAGCCAGAGTGATCTAATAACATGTCCCCAAACAGGACGGAACCATGTCACTAACGAATACCAGCCTACAGGCCACTTAATAGATTTATGTCCTAGACAGAAATATTCACGGTATTTTCTTAATTCATCTTGCCTCAACTCGCTCGCCTGAGAGGTCTGTAGCTGTGTTCTAGGGGACGAGCGATACATCGCCGTCACCACTCATTACTGTGTTTAACAAAGCCCCAGAGCTTGGGTGATTGTTGTATATTGTATAGCTTTCAAAGTTCTCCGTGACTTTGTGTAGGGGGTTCCTGGCCTGTCTTGTCTCTAGTTGACGTGTAATAGTTCTTATCATATCAGCTTTATGCTGTAGCCATTGGCCAGTCATCGTGGTATCGATGTNNCAGCAGAGAGAACCTAGTTGACGTGTAATGCCATGCCGCTTCAGTACAATATGTATTAAACACCTTGAGACTAGAACACACAAATAAAGCCACTACGGTGAT